AAAATTCTTTCTAAAATATACCTTTGAAATATAAAAGCAGAAACAAAGGAGTAAAACCCACAATTTCCATGTCAAAATAACAATCTTTTCTAAGTATGTAATATTATAACTTACTACTACATTTCTTTTTATAAATTAAATCCTCTACGGAAGAATAGAGTTACTTTGGATTAGGCAGAGGGGAGTGAAGGGAGGGGAGGGGGTATGGGGGGTAGAAATGACAGTAGAATAAATTAGACATTATTACCCTATTTGCATATATGATTACACAACCTGTGGGCTTCTACATCATGTACAAGCAGAAGAATGAGAAGTTATATTGCATTTATGTATGATGTGTCAAAGTGCATTCTACTGTTATGTATAACTAATTAGAACAAATTTTAAAAAAATAAAACTATCTTCATTTAGCATTATCTTCTCCAACTCCATCCATTTACCTGAAAATGCCATGATTTTATTCTCTTTTATTGCTGAGTAATATTCCATTGTGTATATATGCCACATTTTCTTTATCCATTTATGTACATAAGGGCATCTAGGTTAGTTCCACAGTCTAGCTACTGTGAATTGTGCTTCTATAAACAATCCCCAAAAAACAAATGCTGAATGTTTTCTGTGATATAAGGAGGCTGATTCATAGTGTGGTTGGGAGGGGGAGCATGGGAAGATTAGAGGAACTCTAGATAGGGCAAAGGGGTGGGAGGGGGTAAGCGGGTAGAAAAGATGGTGGAATGAGATGGACATCATTACTCTAATACATGTATGAAGACACAAATGGTGTGAATATACTTTTTATACAACCAGAGATACAATAAATTGTGCTCTATATGTTTAATATGAATTGTAATGCATTCTGCTGATGTATACAATAAATTAGAATAAAAACTATCAAATTAATAAAAACAAAGCTATTGTCACAATAATAGAAAAATAGAATACCTTCTATGTGATAGTTATTGTCTAACTGCTTGACTTCTTGCTATGGTCCAAACGTTTGTACCTCACCCCCATTCATTGCTGAAATCCTAATCCCAAAGGTGATAGTATTAGGAAGTGAGACCTTTGGGAGGTGAATAGGTCATGAGGGAAAGAGCCCATGTGGATGGGAGTAGCACCCTTGTAAGAGACCCTTCTATCATCAGTAAGATGATGCTGTCTGTGAGACAGACAGCAGGCCCTCAGCAGACACAAAATCAACTAGTATCTTGATCTTGAACTTCTAAGCCTCTGGAATTGTGAGACATAAATATCTGGTATTTATAAGTCACTCAGTTTATCATATTTTCTTATATAAGCCCACATGGGCCTAGAAACTTCTATTACCTCTTCAATCTTTATAACACTTTTTAGGTGGATACTATTACTATCATCATTTTTCAAAAGTAGAAATATAAACATTGCAAGAATTTATTTTAAAGAATATACTAATTCTTTAAAACTTAGGTTATAGTTTGAATTTTACTTATTATTTATTGCCACATATCAAACCAGCTCAACCTAATGGTTTAAAATAATAGCCATTGATGGGATAATGATTCTGGGCATTTTTTTTTTCTGCCAGACTCTGCTTATCTTGGCAGTGCTTGCTGATGCACTGTGGTCAGTTGGCAGATTGGCCTGAGGCTGGGCCTGAATGGCCTCATTCACACGTGCGGAAGTTGGCTGGCATGATGTGGGTGACTACTGTATTAACTATGTCTTTTATTTTGTGTTTTGTTTGGTTTTGTGCTCTGAAACTTTGGGATGTTGCTGATTCTAGAGGGATTTTCCCTCCCAGGTCTAGCTAATTCCTAGATACAGTGAACAAGTTGCCTCTGAGCATGATTTTCCAATCCAAAGCCCATACCCCACCATCTCTTTTACCAGGCTCACACACTCTCCGGCCACTATTTAGCTGCCCTAATTACCCAGGGCCAGGGACCAGATAACTAGGGACAATCTCTACACCTTTGAACCCTCTGAAGTTATTCAAACTAACTAATCCTAAACCTGTTCATCTCTGCTTTGTTTGTTTTGTCCTATGGAAATCACAATAAAGATTCTTGCCACAATCTTTCCTTACTCCTTCTACTTCCTGTCAGTCCCCAGTGCTTCCCCCTGAATCTCCTATTGATGTAACATGCCTCTCTTCTTGGATCTTTGAGTTTAACATTTTGTGTTTTCAGTGACAGTCATCTCCTGATCTATTGGCTTTACCATACCTAAAAAATAATAAAATCTACATTTTAAAACAACTGGATAATGTGTCATTTCATTATCTAGAAGGCCATTTTAGCTTGGTCATATGTGGCAGGGTTTCAAGAGAACAAAGTACCTTTCAAATCTCTCGTTATATCATTTTGTTGCAGTCCCATGCAGTAATGCAAGGCATGTGGCCACAGTGGAATTCAGCACAGGAGGACTGGTTGCAGGGAGGGGCGTGGCTACAGGGAGCTGTGCTCAGACCAGTTGGCTCTAATCCATCAACAACACAGGCTTCTCAAGAGGTTTCATATCAACCTCTCATTTTCTTTGATTTTAGTAATCTTTAGAATCTGGCCACTAAAATAAGCAAATAATATTTACCACTCTTGGCAAAAAATGCTAAAAAACTGTTATTCAGTAAACCAAGCTTATACACTAATAACTAAATTTTCTTTTACTTAGGGAAGTAACTGCTTTTAACAAGAGGACTTGGACAATATAAAGCAATTGGGGATTATAACGATGGTCATTTTGTTCAAAATAGAGAAGAGATGGTAACCTATAATACAATTCACAGAAACTCTAAAATAATATACTGCCTCTAACATTCTCATTATTCTTGATAACGAACATGGTCAGAAATCTTTTTGACAGAGATTTACAGAATCTTTTTCCCACAATTGGTGGACTGTTTTCAATTTTCTTTTCAAACTCAATCCCTGTAGCCTTCTTCAGCAATCTTCAAAATGAAATTCTGAATTTCTTTATTTCAGAATTCCTCCTTCCTACAATTACTCACCACTATTGTCATCCCAGACCAACATGCTCATGTTGAAAAGCACTATCGGGGATTCAAGCTACCTCAGAAGAAAGAGAAAATAAATTGGAAAAGAATGCCAGGACTTGTTTCCTTCTAGTATTAGCTTATCTATAAGAAGAAACACACACACACACACACACACACACACACACACACACACAAACTGAACAAACAAAACTTTAATAGACTCTTAATATACTTTTCCCAAATTCTAGAAATAATCATGAACAGAAGCAGCATGTCCCTCTCCACACCAGAGCTTCTCTGCTTGTCCTCTTGGTAAATTAATCCCAAATTGTTCTTTTATTATAATAGTAATATTAGTATCCAGATGATTGGATGTTGTAATCTGATAGACCTTAGGTTGAATCTCAACCACTGACTAGGTGGAAAAACTTGAGCAGCTTAAGTTGTGAGTTAGTTTTTACCTCCACGAACTGAACATAATAAGCCATAAACTCTGTAATCTTGAGAGAGTTCAAAGCTACCTTGCCCTACTCTCTACCTACTCTTCTATCCCATGAATGGCCTCTGTGGTGAGGACAGACAGAAGGGAGTCTTCAAGGACATATTGTAGTTTCTTTGGAAAGGGATGGATTTTCTGTGGGAAAACTGAAGTGGTTAGAATAGTAATAGGTGGATGCAGATTTTTTTCCCATTTGGATTGGTGTCTCTTGAATTTCTCCTCTATCACTGTTCTTTCTTCCATCTCAGGATGCTGGTGGGATAGATCTGGCAGGGAGACATCTCTTTGGAAAATCTAAGCAGGAACCAGGGTGAGGTCTGGAAATAAGTAGAGCTAGGAATAAAACTGCTCTTACCAGCTCCCAGTGGGAGAACAGCATGGGGCCTGGGGCCAATACTCAATATAAAGTATAGATTTGTCTGTAGCAACCTATGGGCAAATGTCTATTAATATTCACTGTGGTTGCCCATTTATCAAAAATTGAGAATTTAATATTTTGTTTTAACTCTTTCCATCAGAAAATTAGGATTGTTATTAATAATCACATCACAGGATTGTCATGAGGATCAAACGAGATGAATTAAATATAACTTTATATAATAAATGAAAGTTCAATCTTGGCAAACATTTGGCTGTCTCTATGGATGCAAAAGGACACTGAAAGAAGTAAACTGATTTCCTGAGCTAAGTTCTTTATATTGTTCACTATGCAATGATGCATTTACTTTTTACACAGTATACCTTTAAATGTCAAATTAAGTCATAAAAGAGCATGGTATATTTAATCTCAAGGAAATTTTGTTTTATTTTAGGAAAAAGGCCAATAAAAATTATCATTCTTTTTTTTGTTGTTTGTTTGTTTTGGATTTTTTTGCATTACATTTCCAAAGAGCTGAAGAAACCAGGGAATAACTAGTGTTGTCTCCAAGAAGAAAGAAAAAGATAGCTTTGTGTTAATAGCTCAACTTCAGTTTCATGTAATAGTCTTGCTTTTAAGTCATATTACCGATGCATTGTTTGCCTATTTTAAGCCTGAACAAACCCCTTTTTATCTGTGTAGAATTGTTCTTAATTTTATATTTAAGGTAATACTATCAGAATTATTAACTTTAAACTGCTTCTAATTGTACTTCTTCTCAAAATGCTAGATGTTCCACTATACAATGATGCATTTACTTTGAGGTTTTGGATATGGGTATTCTATTTAAGAAAACCCAATTTTGTTCATTCAATATTATGTATATATCCTGGGGACAGGTAGAATGGTATTCAGTCACTGACTACTCAGTTCATACCTCTGAAATGAACACTAAGGTATTGCAAGATTAATTCACACACACACACACACACACACACACACACACACATTCATTTTATATTTGGCACTGCAGGGTTATAGGTGTTTCATAAAGTGCAATGTAGCAATAAATCAAATGTCTGGACATTGCACAAGTTCATGAGGGCATTCCTGTATCATGGCTTTCAGAGTTCTTTATATAATCCTGACATCCTTCCTCCCTTTTGCAGATGACCTCTCTCAACAGGAAGACAATGATCCCCCTAAAGAATATGATCCTGGGCAATTTGCAGGCCTTCTCCATGGATCTTCTCCAGCCTGTGAATCCCCTGAAAATCCATTTCATCTCTATGGGAAAAGAGGTCAATGTGAAGAAAGACAAGATGAAGTCAGTTTGGCAAACAGTCCATTACCTTTCAAGCAGACTCCAATAGAAAATAACTCAGAAACTGTGGTAAAGAAAATTAAACCCAAAGTGGTCAGTAGAACAATTTTTCACAAAAAAAGCAACCAACTCGAGAACCATACCATTGTCGGCACAAGAACAACCAGGAGTGGATCCCGGAGTGGAGACCAGTGGGTTGTGAATACGGGGGGATTTGTGGAAAGAGCTTGTACTCTGGGGAGAATAAGGTCATTGCCTAGAGCCCTGATCGACATGCATTTATCCAAAACTGTCTCTAAATCTGATTCTGATCTCATCGCCCACCCTTCAAAGGAGAAAGTATCCAGAGTTAACTGGAGTGAAGCTTCAACTGCTGAACACAGTTCTAAAGGGAATTCTGAAAGAACACCGTCTTTCACATCTGAATGGGAAGAAGTAAGCCTGGTTCTTCTTGTTCTTTATATTGGGCTTTAGAACTGAGGGAGGTTTAGGGAAGGGTTGACAGCTTTTTAATTCTTTCAGAGGCTAAAGCAGAAAATTAACGAATATATACAGGTCCAACCAGAAGGGAAAGGTTCTATGGGTAATACATGAATTCACGGTAGCATAAAAACAAATACAGCTCCACCTATATGGTGAAATCCATTGTTTCCATAGAAATTGATGTCAAGCAGAAGTAACCAGCTATGAGGTACCAGAGAATGTTCACATCACATCCTACCAAGCACTGTAGCTGACAAATTGAGAAAAATCTTGTTTTTTGTTAGGTATCCTTTTGCTATTTGCTAAACTCTATTAGTTTGTCTCTATTTCTTAAAGTATTTTGTATTTTTAGAAGAGCTCCTTCTAATCTTAACCTTAATGATAAAAAGAACAGTTCCTGGCTCTTCTTTAAGAATCATGCAATAAATGCACATCACTTAATATTTCCCTTCTACAGCTATCAGAGAATCACTAAAGGAAAAGATGTTTTGGGGTCAAGTATCACCAATTTAAGCTCTCCTTAAAGACAAAGTCTTTAATCGGAAAGAGTTATTCAGAAAGTAAGTGCCCTTGAAAGGTTATAAAATATCATCCTTTGTCTCTGAGGAGAATTACATCATAAAATAATGAAGCTCCTTGCTTTTTCCTGATTTTTTAAAAGAATGGACCATAGTCTCTTATGATATTTTATTATAACATGTCACATTTTGTCTCTCAAAAGACTGTGCCAGTTGGACTAGCTTTAAAAGCACATTAGGTCACTATAGTATTCTGGAAACTAGAAATAGATATGGTTCTGATATTAATGTTCTCCATTGAGCTATTTGGGAAAAATCACTGGATATCTCTGCATCTGTTTCAGGGTGAACAAAATGAGACAATCCTCATTGTCTTTTCTGAAACCTGCCATATAACATGTTGGCCAATATGAAGAAGAGGGAGATACCTCCATCTTAATAATTGTGTTTTCCAAAATTGCAAACTAGTAGATGGATTTTTTTATTATATTCCTTTCTTCTTTTTAAAATCTGAATACATTTAAATTCCTTTTTGAATTATTTTTTGAGACAAGATTAATTAATATTTAATTTATCCTTTAGAAGGTTAAAGTAAAGTTGTTAATTAATTTAATATGAGGTTGTTCCGTGTCTATATTCTTGTGACTGGATCCTACTAATCAGCTTGTGACTGATCAGACCATTTAGTTAGACCTTGATTCTAAAGGTCATGCCCACAATCTGACTCCTGGTCTCTTCAGTCAAATGAGATGCATGCTCTTAGGCAGAAGAGGAAGGATGCTAGAGGATAGATCTCATCACATGATCTTATTTGTAGCTCCTTTCCCTTCTAAGTTTAAAGAATACACAATTTCTAACTAACTTGTCATCTAAGTACAAATTTCATTTCAAGAAATACAGAGAACATACACATTAATTTTGAAAGTTTAAAGAAGGGAAGCATAATTTATATTTTCAAAAATCCCTCAAAAGAAGTTTAAGCTTTTCCCTATTGGTCTCTTAATTATAGTATTGCTGTAGTAATAACACCAAGAATATATGATCCTAGCATTGGAAGTTATTTTAAAGTGCAATGTTAAAAGTGAATGCAATAATCCTCTTTCATGGCCTTTATTTCCCACAGATTGACAAAATAATGAATTCCATAGATGTTGGAATCAACAGTGAACTTGAAGAGATGAATGGTGAAACCACAAGTAAGGAAACTTTCCTCTACTTATAATGAATAAATATAATTTAAAAAATAGCCAGGAAATAATTTAAAAATCTTTAGATAATTTCATGTTTTATCATAATAACAGTTGCTGAAAATTATTTCCTTCTACTCTCAGATCCAGTAATCCTGACCTGTAAATAACATCAATTATAAGTAAATTGGTTCAACAAATTTGGATTTTTCCTATGTGCTATTCTACCGTGCCAGTTAATATTAATGAAGCTTCAACCTTATGTTGATTGCAGTAGGAAGCACTTCAAAGTGTTGTAGAATCCAATGATTTAATACACTATTTCTCATTCAATGAAATGTCCTATTTATTTGGGCCAAAGCAATTAACAACTTCTCTAAGTTATAAGTTCTGTTTGGCAAGAACTATATATCACTCATCTTCACGTATCTCATAGAACCTCAAAGAATATCTCACGAAGAGTTGGGTTTGCAATCGCTGTTTAACATATTATGATTGGTAAATATTGTTTTCTTCCCTAAAATTAAAGTTTAGAGTAGAAGTCCATTCAAAACCATTTTTCATTTATACTCAAAATTTAACCAAGAGGTATTTTACCATTGAGCTACATCCTCAACTCTTTTTATTTTTTATTTTGAGACAGGATTTTGCTAAATTGCTGAGAGCCTTGCTTAGTAGTTGCAGCTGGCCTCTAACGTGATGCTCCTGTCTCACCCTCCCAAATTGGTGGGATTATAGGCCTGTATCTCAGTGCCTAGCTATCTAAAACCTTTTGAAATCTAGTATTTAATGTCCGTCAATTAGTATTGACAGACATTAAATACTAGATCACTAAACCTAAAATTTCAGTAATATTTATACTAAAATAAAATGTACTGTTCTTGAAAAAGTCAAAAGACTTGGATTCTATTTCTACCTTGCCACAAAGTAGCAGTACAATTGTATACTAGATAGATCTATAGAATTTGGAGTTTTAAACAGGTGATTCCTAAGGTCTCAGGAGAGCTCATATTTAAGTCAGAAGTGATAGTTGGGGTTTTTTGTTTGTTTGCTTGCTTTATTTTGTTTTGTTTTTAAGAGAAAGATGTCTAAAGGGTAAACAGATATTGAACTTTTTTCAGCAAAGCCCTGACTAGTTTGAGATGAGTGAAGAATTTGTCTGGGGAACAAAATTTAAGGGATGCTTAAATTTTAAAATATTATGTATCCCGATGCTTATCAGGATACATAACATTTTAATTTATATTTTAAAAACTCAAAATTAATGCTACAAATCCACAATAAACAAAATATTAAAACTTAAATAAAAATGAAGCCCTCACTGGCATGACTTGGATTTTCACTTTGCCTGGTTCCCCAAAGTGGTCACAGAAGCACTGACCTTGTGAGGGAGAGGACAAAAGCACAAGTAATGAGAATCTTTTCAGAGATGAAGCTGAGTGACTGAGATGCTCTTTACCAATGAGCACTTGCAGAGTGTTGCCCACGTGCTAAGAGCCTGAGCAGTGATTGGGGGCTCTGCAACAAGCCTGGCTGTCACTCAGCAGGGATGTGGGGAAAACCACAGCTTGACTCAGGAGCCTGGTCACAGGCCTGGGAAAAAGGGAGTGAGATGGTCAATTGGCTTAGGAGAGTAGGGACACGCTCCCTTTTAGCTACAAACCTCCACCTCCTTCTTCCTCCTTTCCCCACCATGTTCTTTGCCATCCCGTTTTTACCTTTTCCTGCATGTGATACAGGAAGTGGAGGCACTTCCTGTATCACATGCAGGAAAAGTACACAAGTCTACTTATTTCTCCTCATTGGAGGTTTGTAGTAGGCCAACAACAGAAAGACCATTTCAGAGTAAAACAGGAGCAGTTAGAAAGTATGTGAGTTTCATGGCAAACACACACACACACACACACACCACACACACACACTCACACACATACACACACACCCCAAATATAAAAGTCTGGTGATTTGCTTTGACATCAGTGGAAAACTGTGAAAGGGCCCCAATCTAACCATCCTTGCAAATTTCTGTTGAACCAAAACCAAATGAATGACCTTCATTTTTACAACTGCTAACATTAGGCTGAAGCAACTGGGGAATTTTCCAGAATCCAGTCAGCCTGGGGACACATGTTGCTATGCAGTTCTTTCATATATGCTTACAGAATCATTTCCAAAAAATAATAGGAATACACATTTTTTTGTTGATATCAACTGTACTATTCAAAGATAGAAAGTCTGCATGGTGAGCTAGTAAGTTTCATCATAATGAAAGTGTTTGAGACCTAGAAGTGCTTCTCTTTTGGAATAGTGATATGGGCATTAAATTCACAGTTCAACTTGGATAACATTAAATGTTACTCTAATGTTCTAAATTCTTCAAGAGACGGTGGCACAGAATGATAAAAATATCATAAATATTAGGAAAAATATTTAAAATGTCACCCAGGCAAACCTACCTTTGGAAGGATATTTTAGTGGTAAACAAATCTACAGATTCTTTTCCCCTTAGTTCCTCTCTACCCACCTCTCCTATTGCCATCCTACCTCTGTTTTTGTTTACCATTTTTCTGCAATTGTAATGAAAATAAAAGTGGAGACCCAGTCCACAAGAAGTCATTACTATAGACAAAGGCTGGCTCTATATGTCCCTTAGTTTTTGCCTCTTCATTACACTCTAATTATGCACTAAGTGATTGACCATAACATAGCATTCCAATTCACCCTCAGGCCAGTTATGAATCACAGCTTTCCCGAGCTGTATTCTTTTCCCTCTCAAAGCTAGACTTAACTAGAGGGGTGATAAATAACCCCATGAAGATGGCACTCAACAGATAACATTCTGGGTACTCAACGTGGTTGGGAAATCACACAGAGAAATAAAAAATGAAGCACCAATTTAAAGCTCAATTCTGCTATTTACTCGTTGCTTGTTTACTCTTTTGCCCCTTGACAGAAATAGGCATACTAATATAGAATCATTGTAGAGACATGTGCAGTGGATATGTAGAGTGTCTGACACATGTAGATATGCATTAAACATAGTTCTCACCTTGTCTCCACCAGAAAAACTGTTCAACACGGAATACAAAGCTGAATTCACGTAAGCCTTTGTTTAAGAACCTTATGTCAGATGTTCTCACAAGGATTAAATTTGCTTTATTACCTAGAACCATGAGGTCAACTGGGATACAGTTTGTGACAAGTAATTAAAAAACTGATTAAAAAAAAACCCAAAAACAGATTAGAACTCCATGTTACCCTAGCAAAGAGAAAAATCTAATATGCTTTGCTATAAATATACTAAATTGTTTTTCATGAAGTCTGAGTATTCCTTTTATGGCTTGCCAATACGGAAGAGATGTGCAATGAAATTAGTGGGAGGTAAATTTAGAATGAGAAACAGTAAATAACTGCTTTACATAAGTGTCATCAGTCTCTACTGAGTCCAGTGCTATGCCTGGTTTTAATAATGCTATGTTTTTTATGAGCATTCATTGCTTAAAACCTCAGATGATGAGAGAATAAAATCATAAGTAATGGAGATACATAAAGGTCCAACATTAAATTTTCAGTGCTCTTGCCCATTTTGTTTCAGCAGGGATTTTTGTTATTGTTGTTGTTTTGTTTTTCAAGACAAGTCTCCCTAAGTTGCCCAGGCTGGACTCTACCTCAATCCTCCTGCCTTAACCTTTTGAATAGTGGGGACTACAGGCATGCACCATCATATCTAGCTAGTTTCAGCATTTTTGTTTGCCCTTCCTGTACCTACACATTTCCAATGTCAGATATTTGTTTTACAAACCATATTTATTGGACCAGGAAGAGATTTGGAATTCTCTCATTTTTACCTTAATAAATATGAACCAGTTCAAAGTTTGAACATTCTCTATAACAAAACTAATTTCCTTCTTTGAAACCAGTTTCCTTTTTATTTTTCAAATATAGTAGTTTACAACTTATCCAGCAACCTCACATGTCCAGGATGAAGTCAGAAATAAGAGTAAATCACAATAAGGCAGGGGACACTAAGGAAGAATAGCGTTACCTTAGATTAGGTAGAGAGAAGTGATGGGAGGGGAGGGGAAGAGATGTGGGCATAGGAAAGATGGTAGAATGAAACAGACATTATTACTGTATGTATATATATGACTGCATGACCAATATGATTCTGCAACATGTATACTCAGAAAAATGAGAAATTATATAAATGCATTATACTGTCATGTATAACTAATTAAAACAAATTTAAAAAATTTAAAAAGACATACTGGATTATTCTAGGTCAGTTCCTTAGTTTCTCACTCAGAACATATTAACTCATCATTTTCACAAACAACATTTCTGATTTTGAAGTTAGGTGGACCTGGCTTAAATCCCAGTTTGCAAATTCATTGGATTTTTGACCTATTATCAATTTCCCCACCTATAAAATCAAATTTTTCATAAGCATCTCATGAGGCTGCCACAAGATTAAACTATATACTATACTACTATAACTTAGAACATAGCAGGTGATCAATAACTATAAATTCTCTGTCTTCTTATCCACATATGCATGCTTTATCTTTCTAATTAGAGTGTGTGCTACATGGGAGATACTTGGAAAATCTTGTTTATCTTTCTGATCAATGAGAATTGTAGTTACGGTACTCATATTTTTAGTTGCTTTCCTGTGATATCTTTCATAAAGTCTTATTTCTTACCATTGTCATTATATCACAAGAAAACCCTTTCAAGTTAGGAAATTTACATGTCCATTGGAATTACTTCAAGTTCTCACACTTTCTAAAAATCAGGTTAATGATCTTCTTGATGAGATTGAGGATTTCTTAAGTAAGTGGAGGCAATAATTGGCTCCACAGGATGTTCTTATCATTATACAACAGTGAATATGCAGAGTAATCAAGTGCCTAGACTTAAAAATACAAGGGTTTCAGATAATCTTAAAAATACCCTTTAATTTATGAACAGGCTTTAAAAATCTCCTGCTACACTAGACAGACTACAGG